TAAGGCTAGAATGGTTATATCAAACAGTATACTTCATGATATCAGACAGGCTAATTCCTAGTCAAATTCGATATCATAATCTATAATGGAGTTAAAAGGCGCTAGAGGATTGAATTTAATATTGGAAATCATATAGCAAACTGGGATCGTAGATGGATTTGGAGTTTGCACCAGAACCCCCTATGTGGCCTATATAAGAGATTTTCTTAAAATTATCAAATTTTTTAATAATATTAAAATCTATAAAAATGATTTTACAAAATAATTAAACATTTTATGTAAGACAGAAATTTTAAAATAATTAGAAATATTACACAATTATCTTATATACGAAGTCAAAAAAGTGGTAAAAAATCATATAAAATTTTATCAATCATAGGATTGACATTTATATAATTTTATTTGTTATGATCAACATACAACATATCTGATGATTGCTATCTTTAATTAGTAATAGGAGTAGATCAAATATTTTATATAAATAGGATAGGAAATTGCTATAATAAAAGAAGATTCAGTTTAGATTCTTAATTAATAAGTTAATTAGTAAATTAGTTATTAGAAAATTAATTGTGAAATTCATATTCTAATAAGTTTGTAAATAAGAGCTTATTTAGTTTATTTAGTTTATTGAATTGTATTAATCCACTTATATTTTTATTAATAAACTAAACTTTATCTCTATAACATTAATCTTTAAACTTGTAACTTAAAACCCAATACATCATTATTGCTCTTCCTACATATTTGAAGTATTCTTATGTATTTTCAATTTATATTTATATATCCTCAACATTCCCTATACTTATAAATTGATATACTATTAATTCAATAGTTTTATTAATACAAACAAGTTCTTAAGATTATTAAGTTAAAACATTATTCTTCAGATACCTATAACTTTGCTATATGTGTTGAAGTTTATTTTTCAGTTAGTAAACTTTGCAATCGACTTGTGTAATAATGGTAAGTTAAAAGTCATTTTTATTATAACATTATATTCTAAATAAAAATAATACATTCTTTACTATACTTTCTTTATAAACAAAGCCTAACATCCAATTAGATCATCATTATCAGAATGTCTATTAGTTTTGTGATTTTTAACACAAAATAATATACCTATTATCTATATTTACTTTCTTTTAAATTTTTCATATAATTTAATAATCTAAGGTAAATTTTCTTTGGTGTGATTATATATTCAATTTACTATAAAATCCTCATCATTAACAAATACTTTTAATGCTTCTGGATTTAGATTTTTTTTCATCTTTATAACATAAAAATGTTAATGTTACTGATTTACTTTATCGATAATTTGATTTCATCATCTTTTAATAAATCAATGCAATCAACTTCATCTTAAATATCATCAATCTCGTCTGAAAGCTTGGGTATCTGTAGACTGGAGACGTCATCAATTTCATCTAACTCTGTCTTAATAAAATGCTGTCTAATTATCACGTCATCAACATCCATAATGAAAGAATGAACAGTGCTAAGAAATAAACATTACGGTTTAGCATAATATTGTTTTACATAACGCAATTACGAAAAGCCATTTAGATAAATAAATACTAACTTTCTTCCCAATTCAAATAATTCCGTTGAAAGTCTTCTTACTTTGTTTCCTTTCACCTTTTTATTGTCGGTCATCTTCACCTTCTTACTTCTTATTCAACCGTCTCCTTCATAAGATATATAGTAGTGAGAATAATAAACATTTACGGCTAATAAAATCTGCCAGATATTTTAATTTGTGACCTGATGTATCCAAATCACTTATTTCTAAATCATCAATATATGATCCTGTGATTTCTAAAAAAGGAATGCAGTAATTCGTCTTGATTGAACATCATAATAACTGAACAATCCAATTTAATGTGAAAGCCATACCTCATCCTCCTTATTGTTTGTTTTGTTGCCTATGATTTCTGATTGCTGTCCAGATGAACTTGCTTAAAAGAAATTATCGGTCATCCTATGAAATAATGAAATCAATATCACAAATTAGGGCATAAGAATAACAAATGATAATATCTTACAGCATAAACATCAGCTTTCCGGTTCATTCGACCATTTGTTTTTGCGGCTTGAAAAAATTTTTTTGTTTCATCCGTTATGATTACTCTAAAATAGAGAAATTATGTTAATAAAGAATGCTTCATACGTGTCCAATATAATGACTCTCATACTTACTTTTGCCCATAACCTTCTTATTTCTAATAAGGAATCACCGATAATTTCAAACACATCCACCTGTAAATAGATCCATCGCCTATAATGAACTGATAGAGTTTAGAACCTATAGTTGGGGCTGATCTTTAATGAACAAGTGCCATATCATCTGCAAAGGAACGCTTGCTATAAGATTATTTGAAGGCATGTTAGGTATTTTGGCCAGATATTAATGGAAGGAACTACAGAAAACATAGAAACGTACATCCATTTGTTTAAGGATATTGCGAACATTCTCGTAACATAAAATTTTAAAAATGATGCGTATTTGTATATTTGTATTTTTTTTTTATTTAGTATTCTTATCATATGGTATGTAATACAAAATTTGTGTCACAAATAAATAACCCAATAATAATAATGATTATGAAAGTGATAATAATGTGAGCGAGCTTTTTGAAAAGTTAAAGTTAATAATAGTTTAACATGTAATTCTCCGATGAAAATTCCTTATTATTCTGGTTTATTTGAAGATATTTGTTTTCAATGTGGAAAAATTCCCAAAGAGAATGATGGAGGATCTAATAATCAAGTCAATATTGAAGAAGGGCATTATTATTATTGTAATGAATGCTATATTATAGCTAATAAAAATAATAAAAAGAAATATTATAACAATCCAAGAAGAGGCGAATGGATGATAATTTTTAATATCATTTATTCAATCAAATTATTATAATAAAATGCATTTAATTTGACATCCACATTATATACAAATCACATGATAAAAAAATTTATTATAAATTTTTTTTGAAAAATTGACGCGCGGGTTACGAGAAACTATGTATTTTATTTGCCAGGTCTTATAATAATGTCAAAAAGACTTCGATTATATATATCTAACATTGCTGCGGGACTCTCATTATATACGGATTTTGCAAAAAGTCGATACGATTCCATCTAGACAATGAAAATCCAAATTAATATCGATATTAGAATTGGGCTGGCTAAGAATGTAAATTTCCAATTTTTCTCATTTGTTCTTTGAAAAAAAAAAAGTGCAAATATATACACAATACTCAATTGTAGCCCCCCGTCCAGGTTCAAGTCATGTAGGTTATTTATACGAGAAATTGATTGTCGCACAGATTAATCAAATATCGTTTGTTCACATAATTAATAGAATATCTACTTGTTATACTGATTCTACAAGCCTTATTCCTATCTCAGATAAAATGCGGTTATACAAAAATATTTAGTTCCTGGTCTGGTGGCATGATATTTCAAAATCTCGGCAAGAATTTTCCCGATATCGTACTGCGCACTTGACCTATATGGCTATATGTTCAAGAGTTGTTCCAGAGGAATTCGTTATTATTGGAAATATAAGAGCATGACTCCAAAATAGACAAAGGTCTCAGAATACTCTTTTAATACTCATCAAGTGGAATTCCGGGCTCCGTAAATCAAATATTCGCCATCAAAATACCAATGATCTTTTTTTGCATAAAGGCGAACCTTTACTGTAGCTAATTAAAGGAAGTAACAGCAAGTAATTCTAGAATGGATATTGTGAATTAGTAAAGAAGATATAAAATATATTTGATGCTATCGTATAGTTCTAGGCGCTAATCAAACCCTTTGAAATGATTTACGTTCCTCTTTTGATAGTTTCTTCCGGAGTGGAATAAGTTGATCGTTTCGGAAGAACTTTGGATGTTTTCGAAGTTCGGGTTATAGGTGGAGTGGCATGCTTTGGGAACTAAATGGTACATTTTCTTCAGACAAGATTTTGAGATTCTGCATTGAAATAAAAATACTTAACAAAAACCGCATCACCTTTTTATAATGCAAATAATTCAAGCTATTCAGATTATGCAATTGATCGTGTACTATTTCACAAGCAATTTAAAGCAATAAAGCAATTTATAAGCAATAATAACCAAATGACCAAATCCTACATCACAAATTTTACAAATGTTATATTACAAATAAATGACCAAATGATCAAATCCAAGCAATTTCCAAATGGCCGAATCCTTAGGCAAAAATCAACAACACGATGAATTTAGTCCGACATTTATAAAATTGACTATTAAGACGGTGAAGGACATAAAGTCCTAGAATCACTGCAATCAATAACCCTAATGTTGTTGGTGTTAAAATAATTCAATCATGTATTTTATTATAAATGATTACATCGCGCTCCATCTTTATCATTAGAATTATGAACTTGACTAAATAGTGGACAGAATTTATAATTAAAGCTAAAACTTTGGTCGTAAAGTAAATTGCACTTGCTAGACTAATGACAATTGTAATAATTGCGTAGATGGCGACGGAAATTATTTCTCAGTGGATTCCTTATACGGTTTCATGGGATATAGATACCGACGTAAAAACTTGTCAGTGTAAGTGTGAAGCTCATTGATGATATATTAAAAAATAAATAAACATTTTAATATATATGTACCGGTTTTTTTCTTTCTTCTAAAAGTGCTTCCAATATAAGGAGTTTTTGTTTCGAACCATTATATATTCTTCTTTGCTTTGGGCTCATATTTTTAAGAACCTTTTGCAGTTCCGGAGGAAGTTGTTCTGAAATGACAATAATGGTCTTTTTAATAAGCTTGAAAACTGCTACATTCACTAAAATCTTACTTACCTACGTTATCAACATTAGACGTGTTATTGACATTAGGTGCTTCACCGATATTAGCATTCGACATTTTTGTTTTATTGAGACTTTTATTCAAAAGAAATGTTTAGAGTTAGAGAGAAATGTTTACAGAGAAATTATAAAAAAAAAAAAAACGCCTTTATAAGTATAATTTATGTCACGTGATAATGACGACAATATATCTCGCTACAACGTTTGAAACGTGTTTCATTTTTAATAATAGATACTTGGTGTGTAATCGCAGATTTTTGAAATTAGTAATACAAAAATGATCGACGAAAAATAAAGTTTTATAAAGTTTTAACATGATAAAAAAGGATAATGTATAATTAAAGAGTTGTTCCAGAGGAATTCGTTGTTATTGGAAACATAAGAGCATGACTCCAGGAAATAGACAAAGATCTCAGAATACTCTTTTAATACTCATCAAGTGGGATTCCGGGCTCCGTAAATCAAATATTCGCCATGATCTTTTTTTGCATAAAGGGCAGGTTTGCAATTTGATCGTTTCGGAAGAACTTTGGATGTTTTCGAAGTCGAGTTATAGGTGGAGTGGCATGCTTTGGGAACTAAATGGTACATTTTCTTCAGACAAGATTTTGAGATTCTGCATTGAAATAAAAATACTTATCAAAAACCGCATCACCTTTTTAATAATTCAGATAATTCAAGCTATTCAGTTTATTTCACAAGCAATTTAAAGCAATAAAGCAATTTACAAGTTATAATAACCATACATTACAAATATGACCAAATCCTACATTAGCCATTTACAAATGTTACATTACAAATAATGACCAAATAATCAAATCCTACAAAGCAATTAAACAATTTCCAAATGGCCGAATGCTTAGGCAATCCGAAAAACCAACAACGCGATGAATTTAGACGTTTCTATTCCGACATTGACAAAATTGACTGTTAAAACAGGTGGTTGGACATAAATTCCTAGAGTCACCGCCACCAATAATCCTAATGTTGTTGGTGTTAAAATAATTAAATTATGTATTTTATTATAAATCATTCCATCGCGCTCCATCTTTATAATTAGAATTATGAACTTGACTAAATAGTAGACGGAATTTATAATTAAAGCGAAAACTTTGGTCGATTCCTCGCTCGTAAAGTACATTGCACTTGCTAGACTAATGATAATTGTAATAATTGCGTAGATGGCGACGGAAATTAGTTCCCAACGGATTTCCTATACGGTTTCACGGGAAATAGATACCGACGAAAGTGTAAGTGTGAAGTATATTGATGGATATATTAACAAATTAAATAATCATTTTAATAAATGTACCGATTTTTTTTTTCTTCTAAAATTGCTTCCAATATTTCGACTTTTTGTTTCGAACCATTATATATTCTTCTTTGCCTTGAGCTCATAGAATCAAGAATTTTTTTTAGTTCTGAAGGAAGGTGTTCTGGAAGGTGTTCTGGAAGGTGTTCTGGAGGGCGTTCTGGAGGTGGAGGAAATCGTTCTGGAGGAGGAAGTTCTGAAATGCAATAATGGTCATTAATAAGCTTGAAAATGCTACATATACTAAAATCTTACTTACCATCAATAGGCACGTTATCGTCAATAGGTGCGTCACCATTCGCCATTTTGGTTTTATTGAGACTTTATTCGAAAGAAATGTTTAGCGTTATATAGAAATGTTTATAAAAAAAAACGACTTTATAAGTGAGAAAAGTTTATAAAAAAAAACGCCTTTTTATAAAGTAGAGAAACATAAAAAAAAAACGCGTTTATCAGTTTACATCGCTAAGGTGATAAAAATCGATATATATCACTTTATTGATGAATTAGTAATATATAATGATTTGATGGTTAATTTTGATATAGTTATGTTACTTAATGATATCAAGTTGTTTAATGATAAATTACTAAATTGTTAATTAAAAATTTAATCTAACGTGACCTCACAAAAATCTTTGTAGATAGATACGGAAATGTTAAATTAATTAATTTTCTAACATTACCGTAACACTGAAGATCCCAGACTGTATGAACACAAAACACAATCTATTAAAATTGCAACCAATCAATTATGCTCAAAAATTGAGTCGAGACATGATTGGTCACGTTCGTCTGGCATGATCGCGAAGAAATATATCAAAATTTTTCAGATGAACAACGTCTCTTATAGCCCTGTTCATTTCTAGATCGGACTGGATCGACCGAAAAAAAATGTAACCAATCATATCGAAGTTACAATTGA